CATTATTAAATCAAGAATAAATTACTTCGTTATTAAATCTAAATTAAATTATAATAAAAAAAGTTAAATTAAAGAAAATTACAGAAAAACAAATAACTTGTAAATAGTTAATTTGATATTAATATTGATATATTTATTTTCAAAATTTTATGATATCTTTAAATTTATATTTTATTCAAAAATAAATTCATTATCACTTTCTCAAAACCACATAAAAACCATATTATAACATATACAGATACAAAATAAAACAAAAGATTAAAATCAGGATATATCTCGTTAAATTGAACGAGTACCCTTCTATTAACTCCTAATAAGCTACTCCAACCAACTTTTCAATAAAGCTAATTTATCTTTACCAAATTAAATTTTAAACATCATCGATATACTTTTATATTATACGATAAATGATAAGTTTTTTTATTTGATATTTATTCTCTATTAAAATAAATATATTATATTATTATTAATTCTCTGAAACTAACAATAATATTAATAAAAATTAAAATAAATTACAAAAATAACATATATTCTCACACACATAAATGCAAATAGATTCAAACAAATTGAATCATTTAAGAATAAAAAGGTTACAAAAACAAAGGTTAAAATTCAAATAAATTTATATTAATTTGAATTCTCAAAAAAATATTATATTTGAACTTTATAAAGAATAGTAAATTACATTTTTATCCCTATGGTTTGCTAAAATATACTATTTTTGTCCTGTAATTTTATAACTACAGAATTTTGTTCTTATGGTTTATAATTCATTGTTATTTCGTTCTTATAATTTAAATCATTTATTGTTAGTCTTTGTAGTTTACATATCATTTTGTTTTCGTCCTTTTAAAAATTAAAAAAATTGACTCAGGGGTAAAAATATCAATAAATACAAGCCATATGGATGGAAATCTAAATTTTGGAACCACAAGTATAAAAAATCGTAATTTTTAACAGATCTTAGAGATGAAAAACGCAATTTACTCTTAAAATCGTACTTTTTTAACAGATCATAAATATTAATGTTTTGTTTTTTTGTCTCAATCGATGTTATAATACGATTTGATGTGGTTTTGAGAAAACGATAATATTTTTTTATTTTTGAATAAAATATAAATATGAAGATATATCATAAAAAATTAAAAAAAAAATATTGATATTGATACCAAACTAACTAATTAAAATTTATAGTTTCTTTGTGTATTTCTTAAATTCATTTTTTTATTTTTGATTTAATAATATATTTTTTTTATAAAAATAATAATTAAGTATTTTGTTAAAACTCGATAATNTCGATAATTATCATAATTATATTTTAGATGTTTATATTTAAAACAAAATGTTTATCCTCTGTTTGATTATTCAAATTTGAAGCTTTAATAAGTTGTAATTATGCACAGTAAACTTGTAACGTTGAATTTTAAGTAATATGCATCAATAAACAGTACTACATGCATAAAAAATAGTTTTTAAGAGTTTTTGTCAAATCCATTATGATATAATATAGATAATGATTATTTAATAGTATTGAGAATATAAAAAGTAAGATCTAATATTAATGTGTAGGTGACAAAATGATAAGAAAGTGTTCATTTAGCAAGTAAAGAACCGTCTATTTAAAATTACCTTATAAAATATTGACCGTAATGAGGGATATATATATAGAGGGATGTTATTCTACACCCTTTGCTATTCCTACACCCTATACAACTCTCATCTCAACCATTCAATTTTTAATCAATTAATTGTTTTCTAATATAAAGTATTAATCATAATTAATAAACTCTATTCATATTYCATAAATATTCAAATCATAATAAATGAACTCCAATCATTTCTATAAATATCTCAATATATATATATATATATAGAGAGAGAGAGAGAGAGAGAGAGAGAGACTTGGGATCATGTGAGATAAGACTGTTTTTGTGAGACACATGATACATCATTTTTACACTTGAAACTTGACAACAAAATACTGTGAAGGTAACCTTCACAGTGTTTTTACTGTGAATGATCAACTTTTTTTTTACCTTCACAATGTTTTGCTGTAAAGTTTCAAGTGTAAAAATGTTGTCTCATGTGTTTCATGAAAACACTCTGTAACCCAACTTCATATATATATATATATATATATATATATATAGAGAGAGAGAGAGAGAGATAAACAATCAAATACAAACCACTCAATTTGTACAAACCGTGCAAACCACCTTTATTCGTCGATTTCAATGTTTAATCTTATGAAAAAAAATTTATGAAATTGTTTCATATAATATTTTTTTAATGAAATTGTTTCATATATTTCTCTAAAATTAAAATTGTTATGAAATTTTAATGAAATTATTTCATGTATTTCTCTAATATTAAAATAATGAAGATAATAATATCTATGATTAACTTTCACAATAAAAATGATTAATCAACCTCTCATATATAATTACCCAAAAAAAATAAACAAAATAAAAAATTATGATTGGTTAAATAAGGTTTGTACAAATAACGTGGTTTATAAAGTTAACCTCCTCCGTCTCTATACATGGATGTGTTGTGTAATGGTATGGTGAAACAATCATAATTAATAGCGAGTTATTACAAATTAAATTCATTGTCTGTTGGTGCCTACCCTTTGTAATCAAAATCATTATCTTATTTCCATCCATTGTTTATTGTCTCCAACATATTTAATGGCAATTAATTAAAACCAGTCCCACAAATCTAGCCATGGACCCAACATTCTTGCCACCCTATGATATCCCTCTCTTTCATATTACCTTTTTACACACCATTAACCTCTTTTTCTTTTTTAATATATTATATGATTACAGTCTTATTTGATTCAGATATATTTCATTATAAAGCTATTTATGGTCATAAGCCCATTTTATGTGGTCGGAACTCCGTATTAAAAAAAAAATCCTTCAATTGACTTAAGTGATCTGATTAGTCGCTACATTGATTGCTTACTTATAGAATACTGTTACGCGATATTACTATGATTGCAGAGATCGATGCAAGCATTAGACAACGTGTATTGTAGGGGGAAAAATTACAAAAGGGGAGTTGTACACCCTAAGAAGGTGATTGAAAATGCACTTTAGGGACTAGATGTGACAATACTTGAAGAATAATAGACAAGCATTGGGCTTGAGTGGAAAACGATAGAACAAGTTCAATTAAAACATGAAATTCGAACAAAGCGAACAACACCCGCCCTCTTTGCAGGACAATGATCATTCCCCACCTTGACGGGTAATGAGGAGAGAGCAGGGATTATTTTTATGCTTGAAGATGGCTTGGGGCAGGGTCGAGGATGATGTTACTCATCCCTAATTTGACCTCGATATATGTATTAAGTACTATTTATCGATGCATATTACTTAAAATTTAATATTACAAGTAAATTGTGTGTATCTATAACTAATTAAAGCTCCATGTTTGAATTGTGTAACTACTGCAGATTAACATAATCAAGTACTAGATAGATATCTTATTTTAAATATAAAAAATTTAAAATATGTTTAAGATAATCATTGAATTCTTGATTATCTTTATAAAAAAATTATATTATTAAAATGAAAATGAATTACTTCATTATTAAAACTCACTTAAATTATAATAAAAAAAATTGAATTAAAGAAAATACTAAAAAAAGAAACACTTTTAAATATCTAAATCGATACTAAAATTGATACATTTTTTTTCAAAATTTTATGATACCTTCAAATTTATATTTTATTCAAAAAATAAAACATTATCGTTTTTTCAGTATCCCATAAAATCGTATTATAAAATCGACGGAGACAGAATAAAACGAAACATTAAAATCGAGATGTATCTCTTGCTGCATTGCGTGTGTACTCTTCTAGTTTAACTTAAACAAATACCCAACATGTATCCCGTACCAGATTGGGATTTCTTCACCACAAAACTATAGAATAAACGGGGTGTGACTGGGACAAACAGGGGTAGACACAATAGGCAAAAGGTGGGGGAAGGGACCTAGTCAAAAACTTAAAAAAGAAAATTACTAGGTTACAATTTAGGTTTTACATGATTTACATTTCACTCCCCCCCCCCCCAATTACATTTTTCCACAGGCCCCCAACCCCAATCGAAATCGTTACTCTAACAAAAAAAATCTATTGAAATCAATCAAAAAAACCAAAAAAGTTATTTGAAATCGACAAAAAAACACTAAAAAATCTCTCAAAATCAATAAAAAAACTTTAAAAATCCCTCGAAACATTGTAATTAGATTAAAAACACATCGATGACTTTATGGGTCTTTGGTCTACCTTAAAGGTGACCCCACTAAACAAAAATTATGGATCCGTTACTCGACAAAGACGGAGGGCATCAATGGGGGAGTGGGGTTATCGAACAACCTTGCACTGTAAGCAACCATAGACACAACTTATGAAGTCAACTAATCTTGGTGGCGAAGACGAGTGTAAGCATTGTAAGTATATTTTAAAATTAAGAATTTACAAATTTAATATAAATTCAAGAACCGCTCTAATCGGTTCCAGTTCCAATATCTCAAGAACCGCCGGTTCCGATTCCGATTCCGGTTCCTGTCAAATAAGACGGGTACCCGCCTATACTCAACCTTAAATATGTCATATTTGGCTACCCATTTTATCCAAATTTATCACTTTCTTGTTTATGTATGCTATCGAATATCTGATAGATACCAATACTAATATTGCAGACATGCATGCATCAATCCAAGCATGTAGCTGCTTGTACTTTTGGATTTATATCTTGTACTTTAGCACCCACCTCACATTTATCACATCTTTTACGTCTTCTATCCAATCTTATTTTGCTCTTTGTTTTTTCTTGCAGATTAATTATTCGAAAATGGCGTCGTTAATCATGCATAATTCTTGATCAAATAAACCGAAATTTCAATGAATCGTGATTAACATTTTCAACCTACAGTCGAATTAACAAGAGGAGATTTAAGAAGAATTAGATGATGAACAGAAATGTATCTTGAAATTGTGTTTGTTAATTACTTAACAGGATTTACATGATTTGATTCACAAAAAAAGATGAAAAGAAATCAATTAAGAATTAATTAGGAAGGTAATTGAGATGTGATTAGGGTTGAGTTCATCATGATCCAGTGCTGACATTGGCTTTCTTGATTTTCTTTTCATGGTCGCCGGCGGCAAGATCTCCAGCCAGAAAATGATCAGGAACCGGCGCAGCTGCACCGGCCTCAGGAGAAAACATAGCAGTGATCATCACCATCAAATCTACGGAAATTCTCTGGAAAGATGGTGTCTTTCTCTTGTTATTAACCCTAGCCACCGTTTTAGGTTTTCTTGGTGCCGGTGGACAGGTGGTAACCACCGGAATTTTCTGATCGGAGGACGTCGGAGTCCTGGGCTCATCGTCTTCCTGAAAACCTTCGTCACCATTGTTGTGATCTTGAAGAGATGATGGCACTTTGATCGTCAAACCTGAATTCTTTCCATCTTCTGGTTCTTGAAACCCTAATTCATCAGGCGAATTGCATTCCGGTCGTTCTTGATCACCGGAGTTCATCACCGGTCGGAGAAATTGAATCGGAAAAAAAGGGCTCTGAAAACAAGGGGAATTAAGGAAAAGATGGATGTGAAAGATGGAAAGAGAGAGGGGTTGTGTCGTATATGATATAGAAACGGCGTGGGATGGGAGTGTGACTTGCAATATAATCATATATAAACCCTTTTTCCCAATTTTTATGATAATAAATATTTAAAAAATATATATTTATTTAGTTTAATATTTGAAAATGGAAAAAAAGAAAAGAAGAAAGAGAGGGATACACATGGCATACAACCATCTAATTCGGTGAAGGATCCAATGCAAAACACTGAACAAAAAACAAACACAAACACACATGTATCCTTCAGTCAGACAATAAATTTTTACAAACACACCCCTATACTTTCTTCATATTACAAATCCACCCATGTAACTCATCTTCCCACTCTTTGTATGCGTGATTTCGACTTTTGCAACATTTCTAAAGTGGATCAGTCGGTTTCTAAATGACAGTTCATAATCCAATAAATCTGAATCAATTCAATTCATTGATCATCGAGTTAATAAATATATATATATATATATATATATAATCAATAGCATTCTACGATCTTATTTTTAGTTGATATTTGTATATAGTGTTTTTTTGTTTTATGAAAAATATAGGAATAATTGGTTGAATGGTGGATTAACTGGTTGAAATTTGGATCAAGATACTGAATAAATTCAATCTGATCCAAAGAATAACCAATAGTATCTAGTGGATGCGTAGGAGTGATTCGGTCCAACCATCCATCAGATTAGATCAAATCGGTTGTACAATGTTAATTGTATTAGATTGGATGACAAAAACCAAGAGCCAAATTGATGAATGTATCGTATCAGATCTACCTGAATTTATTGGATTCAACCGATAATTGTTCTTATAATCTATTTTGGACATGAGTGTCTAATAACGCTCCAAAATTACCGGCCACTTACAGGTCCATCCCCATCACAAGACGCTACTCGTACAAGAATATACCATAATTCGCCAAGTTGGTGATCTTGAGGGTGCCCGTTGTCATCGACAAATATATAACTTACGTTTTTTTAATGTTCACAAAACATTAGGGACCATTTATGAACTTTTATAACGTTGGTGCATCTAATTGTACCTTTTGTTGGCCTTTTTCTTGATCTATGCAATCTTTAATGCATCTATGCACGTGCTTTCACGACATACTATATGGCCGTTATTTAGAAATTGAATTTTTACATTTTTATATATTTATTAATTTTTTTATTAACCTAGATTTCCAATCCGCTATGCAAACCAATTAATCTCAAGATAACCACCTATTTTATAAATATCATAGAGTCATCACATTTAAACCTTCATGGCCATAAGGGGATTAATTTTAATATTTGATAATAAAACTAAGTTGCTAAAATGTTTATTTATAAATTCATATTTAATAAAAAGTAAAAGTGAAAATGGAGGGGGCGTCTAAATTCCAAGCTCCCATGGAATTGGATATGACCATGATGTCAATAACTGAATAACTGTGAGTGCTTTAAAGCATCCAACCCTTGTTGTTTGTGAATTTTCATGTAACTAACAAATGGCATATAATCAATGTATTTAAAGGTGTAATAATGTAATGTGAAGGTGATGTGGGGCATACAATATAATGAGGTGGGGCATCAAATCAAGTGCATATTTCCATGCTTTTGCTTCTTATATGCTTACTTAAATCATTTTGTTACCTTCTCATAATGCTCTTCAACACTCATTCTTCTGCTTTCCTTTTACATTTTGCAACCCTCGTTTTCACACATACATACATACATACATACATACATACATACATACATACATACATACATACATACATACATACATGTAAAAGTGACCAAATGTATGTAAAAGTTCATGAAACTGAATAAAAATAAGATAAAGATAGATGAATGTACTAAAAATAGTTGAAACTACCTTGGATGCACATTAAGATGGGATGCACCAAGATGCATCGAATCAATCTTCGTATCAAACGCAATTCAAGGGTGAGTTTGAGATTAATGGTGATCAAGGGTCCAGATCCCTTCTTAAACTTCTCAATTTAAATCTCCTTCTCAATTGGTCTTAGGAAAAACCTTTGGTCTCATATGATCTCAAGTGTGTGTGTGTGTATATATATAAGGTTGAGTTCACGTGAGACCAAAGGTTTTTCGTGAGACCCACCAATTTATGTTCATTGATCAATTTTATAAGCTAATAATCTAATAGTTTAAAGTTGTACGGTGGTAATTTTGTGATTATTGAGAAGTCTCGTGGCAATTTCGTAATTATTGAGAAGTATCGTGACAATTTTGTGATTATGAATGTTCAGATTGTAGATCTAATCCAAGGGCTGAAAATTGGTCTTACGGATCTCACAAAAAACCTTTGATCTCACATGATCCCAAATCTATATATATATATATATATGTGTGTGTGTGTGAGAGAGAGAGAGAGAGAGAGAGAGAGAGGTGGAGAGGTATATGGTTGAGTTTGGGTAAAAGCAGCTTTAGAGCCATTGATATCTTTTAATTCAACAAAGCTAATTGGGTGCATTTTGTAAAGGACGGACACTCGGTCTCTTGACTTTTTGCATGTGCTCATTCATCTCATTGTTTTGTTGTCAAAGTTTCACTATTTTCTTACACTAGTAAATGTATGTCAAGTTTGGTGAAGAAATGTGTTAGATGTGTGAAGTTTAGGGGCCGTTTACACTTTACTAAACGTTTATCCAGTAAGTGCTTACTGGGTAATTTTCATTATCGGATGAACATGACAAGAGTCAAAAATCTTGCCCGGTAAGAGCAATGATAAAGATGAAGAGTCTTATTTGGTAAGTGAATGTGATGACTCTTACCCGGGTAAGCGCTTAACGGATAAATTATTGTATACGATATCATTTTGATGTACTACAATCTTACCCAGAAAAATAAATTACAATGTTAACTCGTAACAATAAGAGCTTACCGGGTAAGTATTTAGGTAAACGCCCCCTTAATGAACGTATTTTTAGATTCACGTGTGAAACCATGGATTATTCGATATTTTTTATGTTAAGGATGGTGAAGTCTCACTTACAACCACACTAGCGAAGTTCCACTTTTATACGAAAATTTCATCGCATCCGTAACTAACATTAAATAAAAGTATGTATCCAAAAACTCATGACAATCCCGAGTCTGAATCGCCACATCCCGATGTTGTTGCCTTCCACTAGAGTCAACATCTCCCTCCTATCTCCGACGCCTAGGGCTGTAAACGAACCGAACGTTCAGCGAACCGTTCGTGAACCGTTCGGCGGGAAGTTCGTTTATGTTCGTTTATTTAATAAATTAACGAACATGAACACATTTTTTTGTTCGTTTAGTTAAACGAACGAACATGAACAAGAGTCTCGTTCGTTCATTTATGTTCGTGAACGTTCGTTCATTTACCGTTTGTTTACGTTCGTTTATATTCGTTCGTTTATATTCGTTTATATATTAAATTTAATATATAATCTTTTATTTATTTACTTTGAATTCAAATAATATTTATTTATGTTCGTTTAATCTGTTTGTTTATGTTCGTTTAGCTCATTCATTTATGTTCGTTCGTTTACGTTCGTTTAGCATGTTAGTTAACGAACGAACATAAACGAACACGAACACACCTTATTTCTAAACGAACGAACACGAACACAAAGATTTTCGTTCGTTTACCGTTCGTGTTCGTTCGTTTGTTCGGTTAAGTTAAACGAACGAACATGAACAAACTTTCGTTCGTGTTCGTTCGGTTCGTTTACAGCCCTACCGACGCCCACCCTCAACTCCATACGTCCGTCAGGGACGGACCTAGAATTTTTTTCAAACGGTGATACCGTTTGACTATAAAAAACAAATACATACATTTTTCACAAAATTATCATTAGTCTGTTGGCTAGTTCATTGTTTTTCATATGTGAGGTCATGTGTTTAAGTCTTTTATTGCAATTTCTTCAAAAAAAAAATAATAAATCTGAAATTAAAAGTTAAAAACTAAGAAAATGACAACAACAGGTTTCCGGGTCTAGGGTGTAAGAAAAGTCTTACAAACTAACTCTATCAAAAAAAAAATTTGTATCCTCACTGTAGTTTCAAAATTTATACACTGATATACAATAAATTAATACGATGACACTTTTCATGACCCTCTAATTTTTACATTACGACGGATGAACGAAATGGTTGCACGTGCCACTACAAAACCACCCAGGTCCATCCCTGTCGTCCATCCCGTGAACCCCGCTCTCTTTGTTGTCCCAGTATTAAACCCACTCCAATTCTCCAAATATATGAAATATAATAAAATACGGGTGTTATATTAATGATATAAAAATAATAAAATTTATGGTGTTAAAAAATGAATTCCCCTAAAATGCTTAAGAAAAAAATATTATAGTTAAATGATATATAAAAATAACTAATTTATTTAAACTAATTAATATATGCTAAAAAAAGTTATAGTAAATTGCATGAAAAAATAACGTACTTTAACATGATTCTTATTTTGGGTAACGTATTTTTAAAACTTACATTTTGGCACTTAAGATGTAAACTTTTAAAAATTTAAGTACCTGGATAACCGGTTGAAGCAGTAACCGGTCACCTGTTGATGTGGCGAGTGATGTGGTATCCATCTCGGTATTCTTTGCTATTCAACCCAATTTCATTCCATCACTCGCCATATCAGTATGGTAACCGGTTAATGCTTCAACCAGTTACCCGGGTACTTAAATGTTTAGAACTTTACATTTTAGGTACCAAAATGGAAGTTTTGATAGTACGTTATTCAAAATAGAAATCAAGTTAAAGTACGTTATTTTTTCATGCAATTTGCCCTAACAAGTAATATATATATATATATATATATATATTGAGCCTAATCAAATGAGAACTGATTAGTTTGTGGTAACTATGAGGTCTAATCTCAACCACAAATCAACGGATAAATTAGGAAATTAATAATTATAGTAGTTTAAGTTAAAATTATAATTAGAGAGCATATTAGGTATTTTTAAAAAATTCCTTTATTCTCTCTCCTCTCTCATCTCTCTGACCTTCAATCTCCGG